CGCGTTCAGTCATGTTTCGGTGACCATAACTAGGTCCCAAGGCGTGGAGACCTGACGAATACGAAGTTCGGTTCGCTTGCTGAGAAGACATTGTGCGTTGGTATACAAGCAACTGAGGGCATCGGTGTTCAGAAGCGTGCGTGTGAATGCTGGTTTCCGGTGAGGATCTATGCCGACCCATGCGAGGTCGGCTGCCGGTCGTTTCTTTATAGGAGCGATGACACAGGCTATAGGGCCTGTTCAGTCTGTTGTACAGAGCTCTCAGCGCCAACAAGAGGGTGACCATCCTGTCCTCCTTCAGCTGCCGGTGTGTTTTGATATTGTTACCGTTCTGAACCACACAGTGACAGAATTTTATTGGTAAGTTGCTTGCTCAGTGTTACATTGTCTATCTGTGGCCCGGTGCCTATTGCCTTTATACGTATTTCGGATGGCAGCATTTTACGCTTTTTGTGCCACATTTTGATCACATGTTCTGCCATCAGTTCGTAGTGCAGTGATACTTTCATCACTCGGGGACCGCGCCATTTGTAGTTAGATGATAGCGGTAATCTTGATATCGAAGTAGCGGTAACATTTTTGAATGACAGGACTTCACGAATAAAACGTCCTTCATCCCAGTCATGCGCTTTGACCTCTAGCTCGCTTAGTGACTGGACTATGGGGACATCGTGAACAAGGATAGATTTTGCGTCTTGTTGTTTACGGAAGTCATCCGGATTTTGTTCGCGTTTCTGGCGTTCGCCCTAAGGAACATCTGAATATATTCGAACAGTGCATGTGGTGGTACGGAGGCGAGTGGAGAACAAAAGAACTGCCTCTGCATCATTATCCGACTGAAGTGTTGGCTGGAGTAACCGCGGTTTACCGTAGTGTACAGAGTTTGGATGACGGACGAGAAGCATCATACTGACTGGTTTAGCTTGAACCCCTAGTAGTTCACACAGGGGGTTCCACTGTTTTGTCTTCTAGTATCTTATCTTTTATGGAGTTTGCCCAAGATTCAGTCACATTGGAGCAAATAAGTTAGAGAAATTTGGTCGTGTCACATGTTCTCCTTTTTGGTGGGACCAGTGGCTGCTTTCATCGGTTGGACAAAAGATGTGGTCTTGAGTCCGGTGGTGGTATTGGCAGTAGTAACTCATTTGGCAACGTGCGGGATTGCAATGGGAGGTGCCACCGTTATATGGGTAGCAACAAGCTGCGCGTAGGTTGTCGCCCTCTAACAGTGTTTAGTGTGGCGCGAGATTCTGTTGAGGAATGTGGCGAACACATCTTTAAGAGCAGCCGCTAGTGTCGGGGTGGCTAACTCTGCATCGTCACACTGTGCTGTATTGGAGCTTAAAGTTGAGCATCGAGTTCGAGACACTGATTTGTCTAGTTCATGTGGGACCTCTTTCATGGCTGCTGCAAGCTCTACAATCTTTGTCAGCCTATCGTACTTGTGCGCCAACACAGTTATACGTCTGACGAGTGGAAGGGAGGTACACCCAGTACAGAACCAGAGAGAATCAGTCGTATTATTAAACTATTTTATCTGGCTGAGACTAAGGCGAGCACATCGAGAATAGAAGTACTTTCGGCAGTTTCTGCATTCTATTCCGAATCGCACAAGTTTTACACAGCTGTCTACGCCATAACTAATGTGTATTTCGGAAGCTTTGAGCTTAGCTTTCCGTGGGCAAGCAGTACGTGCCATTGTGACTGTCAGATCTACGGAAGGTGTTCGTTGCAACTTCCGTGCTGGTATGCTGAATCCAAACCCCGTCAGTCAAGCTGGTGGTCTGACAGACCCCGGTTCGATTGCTTTGGAAATAATCCAAGGTGACGGACACAGACGGCAGTTGGGCCAATCAGTGAGATCTCCGACAGTAGCCTGGGAATATCCGTCACATTCACACAGATGGAATAATGCACAGAAAGCAAAGTATGGGTGCATACACTCAGCGAAAACACGTATAACACAGTATTTCCAAAGCAAAAGTGGAATCCAGTAAGGGAAAGCAAAAATCCGCGGTGTCCGTGGGTACAGCCAACGCTTAGTATAGAGCACGTTGTGGTGCGCTGCGTTGAAGAATTGTACCAATTTTCGCGAAGATACCTCAGCTGCTTAGTCACCTTGAAAAGGGAGCTTGAGCAATAGCTGTTGCTTCACCGTAGTTTGCATGATGAGTCTCGGGTTGTTGGGCTTCACATGGATGTTAATGAAACGCCTTAGATGACCATTTTCAAGCAGGGTGTCCTTGCTTCACCCCAATTCATTGGTAATAGTGTTTTCGCTGCAGAGCTTACGTGCACGATTATACAACGTATGCGCCAGTGTTCGTTTTCGGCTAAGGAGTAGGAAACTCGGGAAATGCTTGTACTGTCCCGTCCCATACGGTTTCCTGTAAAATGCCACCTGGTTTGATCCAGTTGGCCAACAGCTACAAAATAGGCTACGAGAGGCAGGTTTGGCTCAACAACATCACGTGCCATCTATCATCTGGTTACCCGATGTGCGTCATAAGCGTTTTTTGTTTTTATCTAATCCATGATTTTCTCGTGTACTGTTCCTACGGAGATGAGCTAAATAAAGTATATTTCTGTACTAAGCCAGATGATGAATAAATAGAACAACTGTTTGCTTTAAGCGTTCCGCACGCCTTCTTCTCGAATCTTGTATCCAAAAAGGGGTATTTTACATAGCATAGTTCTTATGATTGTCGTCCACCCTGTCTATAAAAGGTCACACCAAAAAAGGACTAATTCCGCTAACCTGACGAAGCTTTTGTGTCAAAAACGAAACCTTGCCAAATAAATGAACCAGCTGATTGTTCACAAGTCTCACGCGATAATCACAAATTTAATGCTTGAAACTTTTCAAACGCTTGGCGTTTACAAACTACTCATAAGTAGTGCTTGTCTCGAATTTTATTCTTCTTTGACTTATTAGGCCGTGGTGTGTGATAAATGAGCCGCATAACTACGAGACACTCCAGCACGACGTCGATAAGTGTCCTGATCGGTTGGTTCGGCACACTACCATTTGGCGTGGATAAGTACACCGTTGGTCAGGCAGACCACAAACCATCTACTTACGTAGGTCGACAGAATGTAACTGGAAGAGCTCTTCCCATCAAACTGAGTAGAACGGGCCAGTACAGAACGACCACAGCTTTTCGCGACAAGCTCAATCGACGTCAAGAAGAGGTATTCAGCGCTTTAGTACATTTCAAATGGCACTAGGGTGGTATAGTCCTCCCATCCTCTACTTGATTTCCAGCATCAAATATGTGATCCACCTTGCATACATAAAAAAGAGGAGTAAAATGCGATTGCCCATCGGATAGCACCGATTGCAGCTTGCTGAGCTTATGGGGATATACCGCAGTCTAAGTGATTCCGACTGTACGTGCCACTACCTAGGGGAAATTGATCACAGACTAAGGTGTGAAATTAATAGCCAAAAACCGGTGAGCAATACAAACTTCTGTGGTGCTACTGGATCAGTTTTTTCTCGGGGTACGCAAATATTAAATAGCTTTATGTCGGCTTTCGTAAACATGGCTGGATATAACATTGCACGTTATAAATGATTTGGAATATTGATAGCTCTGGAGGCCTGCTCAGTTGTTGTGGAGTTCTCCGAGCTGGGCAACTTGGTTGCAAACGTTTCGCCACCATTCGAGGTGGCATTTTCAATGCGGGCAATAAGACGACAGTTGGTAAATGTAAGCATTTCGTATTTTCTCTTCAGCACCAATAACAATAACCCGTGGGAAATAAATAACAAACGGCGGATTTCACCAAACAAACATATTTGCAATTTTGGGGCATGTGATTTGTGTATTGAAGTGAACGCCAACTTTTAGAAACGTGGATGTTCAGATGTTTTTGGACTCCCCTTGGAGTAGGTCATCGATTGATTTTCCCATATGAATATAGTCATTGTAGAGATCTTGCTTGCAACACAAGGAGGGTGATAACTGTTCAGCAAGTAATTCCCTCACCTCTAACCTGGCCCGAAAGTCATAACCTAGTGTTGCTGCTATGCGAACGGATGTATTGAGTATTGAGCTCACTGATGCACAGGGCTGTAGGCAGGTACAGTAAAGTATTCGAAGTTGGCCACCTCTATGTCCTGACCACCTCACTAATTCTACCGAAATGATTTGGAATATTCGTAGCTCGGGAGGCCTGCTCAGTTGTTGTGGAGTTTTCCGAGCTGGTCAACTTGGTTGCAACCAAGTTGCCCAGCTCGGAGAACTCCACAACAACTGATTGCACGTTAAAGTTCAGTACACAACTGTGACAATGTGTCATCTCAAATATCCTTCCTGGTTGCTGTCGATCACATGGACGCGTGAAAGCAGTATCAACGCGTGAGCAATAGTTAGCAAGACGAAACCTTAGGTTCAATAAACCTCGTATTCTTATGTGGGATTTCCCTCAACTAACTTCGTGCGCATCCTTAGAAGTATTGGATGACCGTTTCGTCAGTACCAAACAGTCTTCCAACTGTATTAAAATCGTACTCACGAATTATGTGCTTGGAAGTCAGCAGCGTATGCTAGTGGGTGTTGATCTCTTTAGAATCAAAAAGCACGACAAATTCCACCCCCGTCCATGGGTAGCGTATGCAAGGAAACTAAGTAGCATTCTAACTAGAGCAACTGTTCTCCATACGAGTTTACTAGACATGCCACATTTATTTACGAAGTTGGTTCATTAGCAAGATAGTGAGATGGTATGCAGCGACAGAGTCTCAGTTGCTTAGTTGGCCAGAGCACAGACTCGTTCCAAAGTAGTACTCATTCCCCCTGGCATTACTAACGAATGTATTAACAAACAAATATTATTATCTATGTAGTTCAGATGTTGCTCACTTGTAGCGGGGAGTTTCATCCAACGAACAAGGCATAAAGCGTGGGTCATTTCAGGTAGCGGAATAATTTAAAATCCTATACAATGTGATAGTTGTGTTTGGTAAGAAGCATGTTCTGCGGTTTTTAGCTCACTTTTGTTCGTCTTATCCATTGAGAAGAATGATAGGCAAGCACTGCCTGACCAATAGGCGCCCAGTTGGAAATTGCAACCTGGAAAACACACAGTAGAGTAGATTAAGTTGTGTGGCTTGGTGGCTGCCTCTCTAGTTTGGAGCTAGGAAATCCGAGTGCACGGTAATTGAAATCGAGGATTGCGAGTAAAAGAAACTGTGTGCCATTACGAAAATAGTCATTTGTGAAGGTTAAGGTATGCCAACTGCCTCCTTTTTTCTCTCGGTTAACGTGAGCAACACTTCACGAATTTCGTGCTCCCACTTTCCGAATTCTATGGAACTGAATTACCATGGTTGTTGTTATCCACACTTCTTTCAGCAACGCTTGTTACTTCCATGTATAAATACTTTATTCAGAGGTACCTGTGCATTTTTCCCTTTCAGATGTGTTCGGTGGAATTCCATGAACACATGACTCATTTTTGCAGTACTACGTGCAACAATCTCCTGTTTTAAAGAGTAGTTTCTTCACTGTCTTACCTGTCATTTTATTTATTGCCCTCTATCACATTGCAAATGTATTCTTAGAACCTTTCCACCTTCTTGTCAGGTAAATTGTCAAGTACATTCTTCGTACCGCTTCCAGTTCTAGTATTTTTCTGTTGCTGTTCCCATTGAAAATGTTAACGTCAAAGCATATTTCGGCTTAAACTAAGGAGACATACCAAAGTTCAGCAAAAATTTTATTCTCTATAATAAAAACGCCAAGATCTCTACCTTATAGAATACACCATTGATGGTAGAACTGTATGCCGAGGTTACCTAGCAGGTCAAGTTACATTGTTGCAAGCCAATGCTTATTTCCAATAAGATCCGGTCTAGATCGTTGGGGGTTATATATATATAAATACACTGCATCATAACATATACAGAATTCAACCATTTAGCAACTGCTTTTGAAACAGCATTGCTACACGCGCTTCCAACTGCTTAATGCACCTTAGCACTTGGTAATGATGACTTCGCCGAGATCGTACCATTGCATGATCTAGTGCCCTCAAGCTACAGAAGCCAGCAAAAGTCACCCATCATAGAAGGCATGTACTTGTCACTGTAGCGCTGTCCACGACTGAATTGTCATGGTGAAAGAGTTCAGCATGTTCATCGTTAACTTATCTCAAATTCCCAGGGAAAAAGTCAAGGTGATTATGTGGAAAGTGAAAGTGGAGTGACATTCGCGCACCAACAGCCTAATAGTTTGTAACGAGTATTATTTATGGCCTTTATAGTGCTCTGCATTTGTTCTACCCAGAAATTCTGTACACACTGCCTTGAATGATTTCCACGCTTCTAACTCAAAGAAAATCAACTGGCATACCGAAAGCACTGTCTGCTATTATCCGGCGAACATCACGCCCATTAAGTATCCCTACTTTGAGTTTCACATCACTGATCTTCAGAAACACTTATTTCAGTTACTGGAAGGCAAAAGCTTTTTGCTTGACGGCTTTGACGAAGTTTTTCATCAAAACAAGTTTGATATGCAGGGGTGATGGATGGATTTGATCATATTTCACAACAGGTGTATGCTTTACACTCATTTCGCTGCAGCATACTCCGTCCACTATAGCAACTTTTCATGGTGTAGTGTTGTTGAGTTGCTCTACTGTCCCATAACCATAAGAAACAGCAGTATTTTTGAATCCTTCTTGCATACCTACTAGGAGTACAATAAGTTTGAAGTCAGCACATATGTTCCAACAATATTTATCTTAGACTAGTACAGCAATGTGGCGGGACTTTATATCGGCCGTTGCCTTTTCTGCCAAACATCATTTTTATATTATCTACTGTATATATCTCAGTGTTGCAAGAGTACAGCGACAGACCCTTTACTCCATCCAACGTTGAATATGCTCGCAAGATATCGCACACGATCCCTGACACAAAATTCCGTTTTCAATGGAAGCAAATCCCGAAGGTTTAGTCCAGCTTTTGAGGATCGTTGCTCGATCGATCCATGACAGTGCATCCTCCTTTTTCTACGGATTTGTAAACGTTGCATTTTCAATGGTAATCCTTTGGTAAATTTACAGTTGATAATATAAAATGCTGAACACGTACCCATTTAGGTACCTAAAACTTATACTGACTTGAATTAAGTTAACTTGAAGGATCTCTTGCAGACTCTCAAAAGTCTCTTTCATATTAGTGGCACGCATCAGAGGCATAGTTTGGTACACATTTCCATTGGGGAGCAGTATCGCCTTAAGACTACTCTTGGACGAGTCAGAGAACAAGCGCCATTCATCACTGATATGTCTGACCCCAAGCTCCTTCATTACTCCTTCCATATCGGAAGAAGAACAAAAGGTTTTGCTAGTGTCATAAAAACCGGACACTTTAACACTTCGCTTCTGTATACAGTAACCTTACAGATTGTAGCAAGTAAGTGCCATGGCTGCAGCCGAGATAGTTGCTGACAACTCGCTCCTGTCTTTAGGTAAGCCTAGGCCACAAACAAAGTTATTCGGCTTTGATGGTTCAATGAGATATGGGTTGATATCATCAGCTACATAGTTTTCATAGATGTCAGAAGCAGGAGAAGTTGAAGATGCCGAATCAATACTCATCATCAGTGAGGTGTTCATTGGAGGCACTGGAATGGGTAAAGTGTAATCATGAGGAACAAGTCTAATAACTGAAGGAAGAGCGGAGTAATGAGGCTTTCTCCTTGTTTCGGTTGGAGATTTCATTGACACTGGTTAGGCAGAGGTAGCAGTCCGTCGTGTGATCCTTCGGAACCCTCAACACCATGGGGATTGCAAATTACATCTTGCCTTTTCCCTTGAGCTGCAAAGTCATATGAATGGTACATGACACACAAACAGTATGTGGCGTCCACTTCTTCTCTTGATCTCCCAGTTTCATCCCGAAATATGTGTGGTAAGCAGACTTCGTTGATGAGGAACTGGCTGTGCACTGCGACTTCATAGAAAACTGTTCACAGATGTGGCAAAAATTCTTTCGGTCTATGACACAGTAGCGTATTCCAGCCATGACCAATAAATCAATTAAGGAAACACAGCTATCAATCAACTTGATGTACCAGGTGGATACCATGACCAAGATCACTTCGTCTATATAATCACAGGGAGCCAATGGACCAATCACAGGCGAGCGTTCGAGGCATGGTACGCAATGCTTACCTGCAATGAAAAACTAAAATTAAACAAAAACCCGATGTAATAGAAGCATTTGGTTTGTATATTTGCAATCAGCTGACTTGGTGCTATTAGCAACAAACTACCTCATTTCTGTTATAAAAAGAATGCTGGGCAGTGTAAATCGTGAATAACTACTGAATACCAGTTATTTCAGATAGTTGCGTTTCGTTCGAAGTTAAGTCGTTTTGTTGTGACTGAACAAGGTTCTTCTGCTTTAGGTACACTTCAACGGCGATAATGAACGCAATCGGAACATCATGCGCTTTGCAATAGTTACAATGAACATGCCTCCTTATGACGACCGCAGCTCATGTTATCGAACTAGAATGTTAGTAATATTTCTTTCACTATTTCTACTTGTGTACATCGCAATTGATACTTCGTATTTGCTATCCCTAACAAGCTGTTGCCGGTTTGTCGCATGATACCATTGTCGCCAATATGAACATGCCTTATGAAGTGTTAATAATAATATTATCGACAATAAAATTTATACGGGTTAAGAAGCGTTGCTTTACAAGTTCCGTTGGATAACTGGTGTGTATATCGACGTAACAATAATGATAGTAAAACAGTTAGTACTATAAATATGAAAATAGGGACCTATCGTTTGCTTCGTTGTAGTCCTGCGATCCTCTTAGATTCACAGCACCCACAGTTAACAACCAATAATTCCATGGTAAACTGCAGGTGTAGGATGGAGACGTAGTGTTAAGTAACAAAGTGTGATTGGATGAGTACATCGTCCAACCGTCTTTTAAATACTGTTAGTGTTGGTGCTGAAACGACCGATGCTGGGAGAGCATTCCACGGGTGACAGACACGAATTAAAAAGAAATATTTGGGGTACTTCAGACGGCCATACGGTACAGCGAGTTTAAATGAATGACCCATCAGGTTTGAAATGCTGCTGAGTCGCAGTGAAGGGCGGCACAAGTGATGTGGGTCTCGCAGAATCAAGTATGCCATAAGCAGCTCGCCTTGTAGTCTGCGATAGCTTTCACTGAATACCTGCAAGTGTTGCAGCCTCTTCTGGTATGAAAGATTGTGCATTCCAATTACGTTCTTAGATGATCAAAGTTGTGGCTGCTCCAGTGCATTAAGGTCGTGTCTCAGCCATAGATGACAGGCTTGAATTGCGTATGCGACATTGGGACGAACATCCGTACTGAGCATTTGTCGAAATATGGTGCTGTATATTTGTCTAAAAGCCCGTTGCAACAGCCCGACGTGTTGGTTCCCGGTCTTCAAGGCCTTTTCGAATCGCCTATAGCAACCCAAGTCATCTTGAACCAGGACACCCAAGTCACTTTCGATAGTTGATAGTTGTAGTATAATCGTTCCGAGCCGGTATGAGTAGCTGCTTTGATGTCGGATGGAAAGCACCTTGCATGTACAGACGTTGAAATGCAGTAACTTTCGGGTTGACCATTGATATACTGTAGATAGTTCACTCTGAAGCACACGTCGGTCGGCGTTCGCCTGGATCCTAAGACAGTTATTGATATAGTCGGCAAACATTGGGAATTTGAAGCGATTCCCTGTGCAAGCTACTTAATAAACACCAAAAACAATCGTGGACATAGAACTGAGCCTTGCGGCACACCACACTCGACTTATAGGGGTCCGATAAAGAGCTCCGAACTCCGACCACTAATTGCCGTTGAAGTGGAAACTTGGCAATCCAGTTTAAAAGAGGATCGCCGATCCCGTAATGCTGGGGCTTGGAGAGTAGTACCCGAAGGTCTAGACGATTTAAAGCCTTGGATAAATCCAGGTAGATTACATCAACGTCTTCTCCAGCGTCAGCCGCCTCGGTCCAAATACTGCGTGCGATTAGTAACTTCGTTGTAAATGACAGTTGTCGACG